CTGCTTTACCTGTAAAGGGTTAACAAAGTTCCCCAGCTAAAGGAAAAGGAGTGGGCACCTGACCAAAAGATCCAATGGGAGGGCTAAAACTTTTTAAAATGGGGAAAAAACTTCTCTTTGTCTGTGTCTGTTCTCTGGAGACGGGACATGGAGCAGCAATTCTGTGTAAGGCTGGAACCAGGTATGAAAATTCATCTTCCATACCGAGAAAAATCACTGGACAGGGAATGTTTAACTAGACGCGATCAGGTTTATTTCTTTATTTTGGCTTGTGGATCTCCTCCGTGCTAACCCCAGATACTTTTGTTTTGCTTGTAACCTTGAAGCTGAACCTCAAGAGAGCTATCTTGATGCTTAATTTTTGTAATTGTTTTCTTTTAAGATCTAGCAAAAAGCCTAAGTTCCAGATGTACTTTCTTCCTTTTTGTTTTTAAGAAAATTTACCTTTTTAAAGAACAGGATTGGATTTTTGGTGTCTTGAGAGGTTTATGCATGTTTGATTAGCAGGTAGGAACAGCTAATTTCCTTTGTTTTCTTTCTCAGCTCTTCTCTGGGGGTGGGGTGGGAGAGTGAAAGGGCTTGAGGGTACCCCACAGGGAGGAATTCCCAAGTGCTCCTTCCTGGGTCCAAGGGTTTTTTTTTGCATTTGGGTGGTGGCAGCGTTTACCAAGCCAAGGTAAGAGAAAAAGCTGTAACCTTGGGAGTTTAATACAAGCCTGGAGTGGCCAGTATTAATTTTTAAAATCCTTGCGGGCCCCCACTTCTGCACTCGGAGTAACAGAGTGGGGATTCAGCCTTGACAGGGCTGGCTGTTGTTGACATGATGGGCCACCGGTTGTAGAGCTTTTTGCCTGGCACATTAAAGCTTGTGCAGTTCTTGCATGTGTTCCATGGGAGGTGTCTATCCCCATTCACAGATCTACACACACATTCAAACACAGTTGGCCAAACTCAGCACACTTGCCCAACGTGCCTCCCTCTATTCATTTTATTGTTAGTGGCCTCAGTTCAGCAAAGCACTTAAGCATGTGAGTAGTCCCAGTGAACTTCAGTGAGACTACTTGCATGCTTAAAGACAAACATGTGCTTAGGTGACTTGCATACACATCACCAATCCCCTCTTGAAAATGAGTAGCACAGCGGACCATGAGAGTAGGGAAATGGGGGCAAACAGATGTAGGAGCCTGAAACAGCTCCCATTGAAGCCAACAGAAAGACTTCTGTAGGAGCTGGACTGGGCTATAGAGGAGAGATGAGTATAGGCCTTTCATAGAATCATAGAATATCAGGGTTGAAAGGGACCTCAGGAGATCATCTAGTCCAACCCCCTGCTCAAAGCAGGACCAATCCCCAAGCAGATTTTTATCCCAGTTCCCTAAATGGCCCCCTTAAGGATTGAACTCACAACCCTGGGTTTAGCAGGCCAATGCTCAAACCACACTGTACATTCAGGAGAATCTGCTTTCAGACTCTCCAGTCACTTTTTAAATTGGGCCTGAAGAATTATGGCTGATGGGAAGCAATTTGCTCTTGAGGCTTCTGTAAATAAAATCTTTCTCCAAAGCCACCTGAGATGCCCACGCACCTTGGAACTAAGGTTTTTAGGACCTGCACAGCAGAGTGGAAGCTAGACAGATTTTTTTTTGGTCTCCCTAAACTAGCCCTTGAGCAGGAATTTTTGCACCTTCACTGAGCTCCATTTGGAGGCAAAATGATCCACACAAGCTACTTTGACAATTTTCATCTTTGATTTATTCCAGGCTTTAAGCTACTTAGATGGAAGAGACTCCTTTTGTAATAATGATGGTTTCTTTCCTCCTCTCCTGCCCCCATTATTCTTTACCAGGATCAGGTAACAAAAAAATCAGCAGCTGCTAGTTTCCCACACAGAGGAGTTGGAGTGAATTAAAAGTAAATTGGAGAATCTACTGCATGGCAGATCACTTCTGAAACTGATAACCAGTTGTTTCAAACACTTCCATGTAGTATTGTTCAACTGGCACTTATTTGGACAAATGTGGACACAGCTTTTTTTGAGATTATTATTAAAATAAAAACATGTAAATTATTTCCCCTCATGCACTGTTCTTGGTTAACTGGAAAAAAGAATCTAAGCTGTAAATACCATCAAACTTATTTAATCAATTTATAAACATTGTATCGGTAAAAACAGTTCTATTCTAAATGCTCTCTGTACACTGAGAGTCTAACCAAACATTAACAAGATTGAAAATTAAAGTCTGAAAACTGAACAGTTGGCAAAATGGCAAAGGCATGAATCATTACTCTACCTGATTATAGCCTGGCTCCCTAATAGAGCCCCGGCCCTGCAAACACTTATACACGGAAAACTTTATCACATGGGTAGTCCCATTGACTTCTATGAGATTACTCGTGGGACTTTGATGGAATTTAAGCAGACTCTTAATAACTGTTCTGACAAGGGATGTTTTCCTGACAACAAGCATATGTGTTTGCAGGCCTATATATATTTGCACATTGCAACACCACACATTAAGAGACGCTCAGCTTTTAAACCCTTCATCTGGACTGAGCAGGTCATTTTCTATTTATAAGTAATGAATATCAAGCTCTAATTTAAGGGTTCTGTTGTTGTTTTTTAATGCTTAAATATGCCTAAAAACAAATCTATTACATAAATATATAAATTATTTTTAAAATGAGGAAACAGATGCCTTAAGGGAGAGCATATAAAAACGTACAGAGAAATATAACCATATTTATAAATTCTGGAGTGTACAAAATGATGCCCTGGTTTAAAACAAAGCAAATTATCCCGGAGTAAAGGCGACAGTATATACACATTACATTTCTTATCTGGAATAGGTGGACAGTGTTAGCCCTGATACTACATCAGATTGGCAACCACAGACCCACATATCTGTGCAGGGGCCCCACAGAACCCAGTGGGCACAGGGCTCTGTGCTATTGGCTCCTGATACAGAACTGGGATCATATTTTGGAATATGTTGTAAATACCGTATATACTCGTTCATAAGCCGAATTTTTTTAGTGAAAAAGGGAAGCACCAGAGAACCGGCTTATGAACGGGTATAGAGAGGGAGAGGTGGGACACAGCTCCTCCCCCCGACAGAGGAAGCAAGGAGAGGCAGCACGGCCAGCGGACACAGAAGGGAAGAGGCGGGGCCAGCGTCTCTCCCTTCTGGCCACGCTGCTCTCCCCCCAGCCTCTGAAACAGCCTCAGTTCCAGGACTGGCAGGCTGCAGCCGTGCCGCTCGACCCCACCCCCAGAGGAAGCTGTGGCTGTGCCGCCCTACCTGCCGGAGCACGCTGCAGCCGTGCCCCCCAGCCCAGCCCGGCCCGCTGGAACATGCTGTGGTCGCGCCGCCCGGTCTGGCCCACCGGAGCAGGCTGCTGGCCGCACTGCCCAGCCTACTGGAGCAGCTCCATCCAGGTCAGAGACATGCTCCCCTGGCCCTCCCCAGATAAGGTGGGAAGGGATGGGATGGGGAGAGTGTGGGGGTCCCGGGCTAGGGGTGGGGTCATGTGGGGGGTGGTCACAGGGGTTACTCCCCTGACTCCCAGCTTCTCCCCCCAAAAAACATTTCCCCACCAGTTGCTGTCCCGGCCCATCAGGGTAAGCAGCTGGTGCGCTGGGACACTTTGTTTACTTAGGTTTACCTCCGTGCCTGCGGACGCTTGAGGTAAACAACCATCTCGGCTCACCAGGAGCTTATCCTGATGGCCCGGGAGCCAAAATTTGCTGACCCCTGAGTTATAGGGTTGGTTTATGAATGGGTTATAAAATGTTTCCATTTTTACTTATCCATCTTGGGGGGGGGTGGCTTATAAACTAACCAGCTTATAATCGAGTATATACGGTAATTATAAAATAGTACAAGGGTCATTACAAATACATTGTAATGAGGTTGAACGTGCATTACATTTAGTACAATCAAACTTTAAATTAAAATATAATATACAAAAAACACCTGCAGGATTTTCTGATGCTGACATTTTCTGAGGCCATTAAAACAACAAGAGTAGAAACCATACATTCTGACACTGTTCTTTCAGTAATCTTGTGGTTTTTTACAACAGTACTCGCTATAGATTTTCACCTTCGGTTCCCCAAACTAAATTTAGATATGGACTGATATTCATCTCCTGGTAGCTCTCAGTCCTCCAAGACCAAAGTGTATAACATTGACTTTTTCATGAATGACGAGGTCCCCAATGAAGGTACGCTGCAAAATTAATCAAGCTTGAAATAATGTATACTATTTTCTGTAAAATATAAAATTTGCACTAGATCTTCAGTTGGGGGAAATCAGCAGAGCGCCACTGACTTCCACGGATCTATGACAGTTTATACCAGCAGAAAATCTGACCGTTTGTTTCAAGAATTTGCCTTTCTGATGTCAAAAGTTTTCAAAGTCATATTGGAGGGAGGTCTAACATGAATGGTTTTTGGACATGATTTGCCAAACGCCCTAAATGAATGTCTTGGCTCCTACAGAAACTCAGTGGGAACCTAACTTAATTATAGACCTCTGAAAATCCCCTGAGGTATAGTTGGGAGGGATGGCTATTGATCATTATAGCCTACTTAGAAATGATACACAGAAATGATGGTCCATCATTGTGAATGTCCAATCAAGATGCAATTTATACTTTTGTAATTAATACCATTACTTAGAAATGTACATGTATCGTTCATGCCAATAAATCTACAGCAAAATGATACAAACACACAAGCTTGTGCCACCTACCATGAAATGCATTTTTGCTACTGGTGGTTCTTTGATATCAAACCCTCTCTAAGCCCAATCCTGGATCTATTCCACATCCAAAGCTACTACTTGTTGGGTGTGTGGAACGGCTGGGGGATCAGGACTTGTATTTCAGATATGTAGGGTAAGTATCATTTAAAAAAACCCAAAAAACTACCACACTCTCTAGGCAATGATTAACACCATTTATGATCATATAAATAGAGGATTGTCCTGAAAAAGTGGCCTAAAAATGACAAACTGAGTCAGGACACAGCAGCTGCTTGCTCTTAATCCCAAGTAGGCAATGGGGTTAATTGCCATTCAACATGGGGAGGAGGACATTTGATCATAATCAGGACATTTGAGCAGGGCAGGGTAGTTACTGTTCATCTGGAGAGATGCATCACTGGAAATATCGGAGGGGCTGCGTCCGCGCACCCAGGCATCGGGGTGCAAGAATTGCCCTGAGTAATCAGAGCAGTTGCTAAGACGGGGGTGGTAGAAGCCGGGGTGGGGCCTGTAGATCTCCTCGGCCGTGTATCGTTTCATGAACAGGTAGACGGACATCACACCAGCACTCTGAAGGGGAGAAAATGAAACAAATGCTACTCACAGAGTAGGGAACTGGGTTGATTTAATTCTAAATGAATGAACGATACTCAGGAGCCGTATTGGCATTGCCAAGGATAAACAAGACTATGAAAGCAGCATGGTCTAGTGGGCAGGGCATCAGACTGGGTGCCCGGAGACCTAGTTTCATTCCCTTGCTCTGCAAATGACTTGTGGTAAGACGCTGGTTATAGGGTGGCCATTCCAGTACTTTCAGAAACAGCGTGACGCTGCTCCCACTGGCAGGGCCTCTCTCACGCACAGCATGTGTGAGGTCACGCTGCACTGGGGGACACTATTTTGAGGAGCGCATCACCCCACCCACACCGGCAGGGCCTCTAACACGCACAGCACGTGTGAGGTCACGCTGCACTGGGGGACACCATTTTGAGGAGCGCACCACCTCACCCCCACCGGCCTGGCCTCTCACGCACAGTGCATGCGAGGTCATGCTGCACAAGGGGGTGCCATCTTTAAGAGTGTGCCGCCCTGCCCCCCCTGGCATGACTTTGCTTTTAAAAATAGAGTCCCCTGTCCAATACTGGACAAAACCACGTCCAGGTTTGCCAGGACCAAATAGGGAACAAAGCATCCAAAAAGAGGACAAACGGCCTCCCGACTTGGGTAAATCACTTCTGCCTCTGCTTCCCCATCTGTAACATGGGGATAACAATACACCTGTCATCAAGGTGCTCCTGCTTCTCCTGATTCAACCTACTTTGACCACTGGCATTCAGGGTTTGCACTGGCTGGCAGGAGACACAGGCTCAGTTGACAGCACCAGGATCGGCCCATTTGTTTGTCATTCCATATAGATGTCTATTAATGATAAGGGGCTTCTAAAGAGTCTTGCCCTTTCAAACCCCATCACAATCCCCCTTTTCATAACAACCAATTCCTGACGGATTGGCCCAACAGTCAACATTTTAACTCCTGAGAACAGACCATGTTTCTAAGGTTATGTCTACACTGCCCTACAGTATGGACTACAGGGGTGGGAATAGCAGCGAGCACAAAAGTGCTGCACTAACTCCCCCGTGTGGCCACTGCAGGCGTGAATAAAAGTTTCCTACTTTGCATTAATGGAGTCCTGTTTGAAGAGGACTACGTTAATGTGGACTAGGAACCTTTTAGTTAACATCCACCCCGGGGAGTTACAGGGCAGCCCTTTGGTGCATACTGCTATTCATATCTCTGTAGTTCAAGCTGTGGGGCAATATAAATGTGCCCTTATAGGCACTCCAGAAAGCTCACGACTGACAAGTACCTCTGTGAGAAGGAAAGAGATAGCAGAGAAAGCAAATGACCATCCATATTTATAACTGAAGTAAGTCTCTGAGTCCTTGGTCTGGTTCAGCATCTCGTCGTTAATGCTGGATATGTACAGCACCAGCCCCACAACCAGAGATAAACCTGGGAAGGGAGAATGACAGAAGGAAACGTTCTTCAGTAAAGACACAAAGCAGCTCACGGTGGTTCTTCCTTTAAGAGAAAATTTGTATCTAAAGTTTAAACTACGTAGGTTGCATTTCAAAAAATTGGGGAAACAGGCTTCTCCCCCATTGAACGGATCAGCGTATTTATGTCATTTTAGTCAAACCATTATGTTCTTAAGCAACACTCTTCTGAGCTACAAGTGATCCGTGTACGAAAATGCTTTAAAGCTCAACTGTCACCGCTGCTTGTTTAACACTCCTCTAACGCTATGAATAAAACATTGACTTGTCTCATGTAGGAAGATCCCAGCTGACAATTTTAAAGTTTCAAACATCCCCTGAGACTGACTTACCATAAGAAATAAGGGGCCTGGGTTTTTGTTTTTTTTAAAGAGTCCGATCTTACGGGAGTGATAAATTGTGGATGCAAACTTCTACAGGTCTCATTATACCCTTGCAGTCCTAAAGTAGGCTATTAAAGGGCTACCATTTATATACTGCACTGAATAGACTTGGAGACCAAGTTAAGAGCCCCCGAAGTTACCGAAACAATAAGCTAACAGATATTCTTGGAGAATGCTGAAAACTACAAAAAAGAAAATCCTCTCACCACAGCTTTTTTTTCTCACCGGCCTCAAGAATGAGAAGTAAAACAAGGAAAGACAGATTTATCAGAACTAAGGAAAATAGTTTTAGGGTCAAGTATTTTTTTCACCATTATTCCTAGATGTACCTTATGAGATGTAAATACTAATATTGATTTTCTTTAGCTCCATAGGTCTGGAATTCCTGAGGTTGAGGCTCATATATTGTGCCAGGCTAAGAGACTGCATGGTATCATATCAAAGATCAAGTGAAGCGGTCATAATTAAAGCTGGTTGGGAATTTTTCTTTCCCTATGAAAATTTTCACATCGAGCTCTTGATGAAAGCCCAAGCATTTTTGATGGAAAAGGTAATTTTCCACAAAATTTCCATTTTGTTGAAAAGCCATTTTTCATCTTAAAAAAAAAAAAAGTTTGATGACAATTTTGACCAGGTCTAGCCGTAATGTGCCACCTCACCATTGATTTCAATGAGGAGTTCTGCTTAAAAATACTATGGCACAATATAGCCCAAAGTAAGGATTTAACAGAGTGTTACTGCCGCTTTACAAATCTGTGGGTTTTTATGGCTGTTATTCCCCTCCCCTCAACGTACAAGGGCTTTCAGAGGAAACAAAGCCAGATGAGACAGCAAGTGCAATGTTAAGATCATTCCAATGAAACTCACCAGACAGAATGAAGAAGATTCCTGATACAAAGGCCAGGATGGTTCTGTGAGGCCGAATGTGTCCAATATTGCTCAGTATAAACCCGATGAACATGAAAAAGAGGCTGACCAAAGGGAAAGGCGTAGCAGAACGAATCATCTCTGATTGTAAAAGAGGGAGGAAAAATAAGAACAGGGTTAGCTCCTCCCTACATAACACCAGAACTGGGCTAGATTGCACAGGCCAGGTCCTTTACATCTCCAATTTGTAGCTTTCTATAGATCTCTCTTTTTCCTTTCCTGTTTTCTCTCTGAGTCTCATGTGCGTGCTGGCACCCACCCCCAAACCAACACACCAAATCTTCTTTGATAAGCAGTTGACCGAAGGTGCAATTATGCCTGGCTGAGAACACATCTGTTAATGTTTGTATTCCGAGTGGTTTCCACCTGAAGCCTTACAAATGCACATCCGATATTTTTTGTGGTAGCATCGCAAGTCTTTTCATAAACACTTGGCTTTATCATCTCAAAAATGTACCAAGCACAGTTAACGTTCACACTTAGAAGTGGCAAAAACAAAACATAGGACTTTACAGTGAGAGCTGTGACATTCCATCCTTAGCTCATCCCACCCCACAGGGGATCTAAATCAGCACGCAATGCCCCAATCTGTATGTGCTGTATTTGTGTACACTCATCTATTCCCAAAAAAGCCACCAGCCTTGACCACTCCAGTGACAGGATGCAGGGCCTGGCTTGTAGCCGCTGTGAGCATCCCAGCATAAGGGGGAGACATAATCAGAGACTTTTGAGCATGTCTGGCATTTCACCAAGTAAAAAGCGTAGTTGTACGTAAGCCACCGGTCGTACATTACAACACAGCACTAACAGGGAATCAGAAGCCTCCTTTTGCATCCTGAGTTCTGAAGTAATTCCTAGTAACCCGTTAGTACTTTAACAGGCTGTAAAGTAAATAAACCACCTACTTAGAACATTGATTGTCGATTCAGACGTCAGCTGGACGTTCATGGGCATGACGTATTCTATAGTAAAACACCGGCCACGCTCCTCACCTGCAGGGAGAAGAGTCTGATTCATGCTTGTCATTTAATTAAAATGTTTTCTTTAATAGAAGGTTGGTTTTTAGATGAATTTCAGTGCATGCAAAAGAAACTTGCTTTTCTGCTGCTCTTTGAGTCATAACTGTTGGCATGTGGTGCTGAAGAAAGATGCCTACTAGCTACTGTATCCTTGAGGGATTGGCTTTTTAAAATGTCGCTGGCAAAAGAGTAATAGCTCAGGGAGTACTGCGAGCTGGTCTCATGTATCAAACACATTCGCTCCACAAATACAAAATTCACATTGTGCTGGTCATTCTGAACATTTATTGGAGGGCAGTGGAAATGGAAAAACGACAAATCTCAAGCTATGGGAAGTACATGGTAACATTATTGGGTGGAAACAAGGAGGACAGGTGGATGGAGTACTACAGTGTATTTTCAAACAAACTGCAGGTAAACAGCTGTTCCTGAATAGGAGAAAGCGCTGAGAGCTAATTGCTAATTGGTAATGGGGGGGGGGAGGCGGTGTTTGACAGATCATGCAATTCTACGTTAGCTAGAGAGGGCTTGGCTTAGGATGCCTTCTGATGAGGCAAACAAAGGTTTTTGTTAATCAAAAACACGATCAATCAAAATGGATGGTCAATCTCCATGGGGCTGCTACTCCCCACTGCACAGGTGGCCAGAAAGTGGGTGGGCAGGAGCAAGGAACAATGGAGCCTCAATTTGGCCCCTCCCATTCCACATCCAGTAGCCGGTTACTTCCTGCTGGAGTATGGGAAGAACCAGGGAGAGAATTGTGACTCCGTAATTCCTTCCCTGCTGTGATCCTGAGCAGCACAGCTCTGCGCCACCATTCATTCAGGGCAGATTGTAAAGTTTCAATCGATGCGTAAGGAATGATACCACCCAAACCCGCCTGTGCAAGTGGAGAAACTGAGGCAAAGAAGCGGTTAAGTGGCTTGCCCAAGGTTTGGGCAGAACATCTGCAGCAAAAACAGGAAAGGCAACTAAAATCCCTGGCTTCCTCATTGAAGATGATGTGAAAAATCACAAGAGTGAACAGTTCTTTGTACAAAGCACCGTACCTGCCAAGAAGCAGACCCTCCAGAGACCAGAGTGCAGCGACATTTTGATTTCGGTGGTCTGATTGTGGGGCAGGATGATTCCTTCCTCCAGGTAAAGCCAGTAGTCAGTGCTAACAGCAATTCCTAAGAGCCCCAAGCCGCACACAGCAAACACGCTGCTGAGCAGAGTCAGAGCCTTCCTGCCGCACGCGCTCATTCCAAAAAGCATCAGGGTTCGAGACGGCAGTAAGGAACAGCTGGAGGGGAGAAAAGATGGCGTGATTAGCCGGGGCTGTAGCACAGCCAATCTATTTCCAACTTTGCTTTCTTTGAGATCTGTAAGTGACAAAAAGCTTTGCCCTCCCCTTTCCTGCTTATTTAGGTCAAGCTGAAATAAACCATTAAAAAAATCACAAACTCCCCAGACAGACAAAGCATTTGAACCAAATGCTACCCGACTGCCACACAGTTTTACTCCCCAAGTGTTCATGGACTTGCTGAACACACTGCCCCTGGGATGTACACATCCAGCCCTAGGGATGTGCACACACACACACACAATGGGGTTGTTATTTATCAGTGGTGTTACTGAGTTGCCTACATGCTCCAACCAAAATTGGGGCCCCATCTAATTATCTATCTTAGGTACTACTGTGGCCGAATGCCTCACAATCTTTATCCTCCCGACTCTCCTGTGAAGTTGGTGTTTCTAAGCTACAGATACATAGTAAGAGACATTCCCTGTCCCAGAGATCTTGCCATCTAAAGTCCGAATCCTGCAGAGCTTTACACGCATGCTCACATTTAGGAGTTGGAACTAATACCATAGAAGTCAATGGGACTATGCACAGTGTGTAAAGTGAAGCATAGGTGGAAGTCTTCGCAGGTCAAGGCCTAAATAATAGCTTACATTTATCTAGAGCCTTTCATCCACAAGGATCCCAAACACATTACAAACCCATGCACACTTGAGAACCACCAGGATCTGCACTTAGCCACATACACACTGAGCCATTCTTCTGTGTGAATTATAGTCTCTCCACTCCTGTGAGAAACAATTTGCCATCAGGGGGCTAAATTGAAGCAGGGCTTTGGAGCGGAGCCCGGAGCAGCTCCGGAACAGTGGAGCTGCAGGTTTTTGCCTGGAGCTGGAGTGGAGCCGGAGCACAGCTCCAAAGCCCTGGATTGAAGTCTCATATTATTAAGCGTTCGTAATTTTACTAAATGCACTGTGGCCCATACACTAAATGACATTCGCTAGATAAATGAATGAAGTATATTGTGCAATGCGTTAGCCTCACTTTATTTATTTTTTTATTGTGTTTGTTCACTTACTCGCTAATTTGCAGAATTCAGTCGTTCTCAGTGGGCCTTCCAGATGACATTGCAGATTGACAAGATTTTACCAAAGGTCATCATTTTATTTATTAAAGTTTTACCAAAGGCTCTTAAGCAAAGTAAGCAGTCATGGGATAAGAGGGAAGGTCCTCTCATGGATCAATCACTGGTTAAAAGGCAGGAAACAAGGGGTAGGAATACATGGTCAGTTTTCACAGTGGAGAGGTAGTGGGGGCCCCCGGGAACTGTACTGGGACCAGTGCTGTTCAACATATTCGTAAATGATCTGGAAAAGGGGGGAAATAGTGAGGTGGCAAAGTTTGCAGATGATACAAAATTCCCCAAGTTAATTTCAAAGCAGACTGCAAAGAAGTACAAAGGGATCTCACAGAAGTGGCTGACTGGGCAACAAAATGGCAAATGAAATTCAATGTTGATAAACGCAAAGGAACGCATATTGAAAAACATAATCCCAACTATACATACAAAATGATGGGGTTTAAATTAGTTGTTACCACTCAATAAAGAGATCTTGGAGTCATTGTGGATAATTCTCTGAAAACATCTGCTCGTGTTAAGTAGAAGTCTAAAAAAGCTAACAGAATGTTAGGAACCGTTAGGAAAGGGATAGATAATAAGACAGAAAATATCATAATGCCACTGTATAAATCCGCAGTATGCCCACACCTTCAATACAGCATGCAGTTCTGGTCGCCCTATCTCAAAAAAGATAGATTAGAACTGGAAAAGGTACAGAGAAGGGCAACAAAAATTATTAGGGGTATGGGACAACTTCCATATGAGGAGAGATAAAAAAGATTGGGACTGTTCATCTTGGAAAAGAGACGATTAGGAGGAATATGATAGAGGTCTATAAAATCATGAATGGTGTGGAGAAAGTGAATAAGGAAATGTTATTTACCCCTTCACATAACACAAGAAACGGGGGGACACCCAATGAAATTAATAGGCAGCAGGTTTAAAACAAACAAAAGCAATGCACAGTCAACCTGTGGAACTCATTGCCAGAGGATGTTGTGAAGGCCAAAAGTATAACTGGGTTAAAAAAAAATTAGATGGAGGATAGGTCCATCAATGACTATTAGCCAAAATGGTCAGGGGCGCAATCCCATGCTCTGGGTGCCCGTAAGCCTCTGACTGCCAGATGTTGGGACTGGACAACAGGGGGATGGATCACTCAATAAATTGCCCTGTTCTGTTTATTCCCTCTGAAGCCCCGGGCATGGGCCACTGTTGGAAGACAGGTTTCAGAGTAGCAGCTGTGTTAGTCTGTATCCGCAAAAAGAACAGGAGTACTTGTGGCACCTTAGAGACAGGATGCTGGGCTAGATGGACCACTGTTCTGATCCAGTATGGTCATTCTTATGTTCTCAAAAGTTCACTGCTCCCTGACAAGGCACTAAGGGCTCTGTGCCACAGGGCAAAAGCATAACTAAAACAGAAGAAAAGTCACAACAAATGACAGGTTAGAGAAATAAGAGGCAATGAAGAAGGTTTTGCTGATGCCATTGTAGCTTGGTGGTGGGAATCAGGTAGCTAGATCTCTTTACTGCTTTTACAAAGACACACTATGAGCTACAGATAAGGGCAGTATCATGCAGCCTTTCCCAAGTGTGTTTGGTTCTTACTGAAAACAAGAGAAACAAAAACAAAATTCCCTCTTGACAACAAACCAATCAAATTTAACACAGGAGCAGAAGGCAACATCTTCCTTGTCCTACTTTTAAAATTGCACATGCACTGTTCAAGCTATGTAAAGCTTCAAACAATACAATGGTAGCTGATTGACTCCAAACAGAACGCAGTGTTTAATTAGCGTGTACACTGCAAGGTGACAAGGAAGGCAGAAAACTCCTAAAGAAACAGAAGAGACAATGTCATATCAATTGTTGGAAACATTTCCAAAACACTGAGGGGATAAGTAATCAGAAATATGGGATAGCTTGGTCTTGGGCCTCTTAAGACAGTTCTGCGCATTAGCTTGTACCAAAGTAACTGAATTGTTTTTCATTTCACACCTTTTGTTATTTTGGGCCAAGTCAGTGTGTGAACACGCACAATTGAAGTAGGATATTTTTAAGTTGTGTTTTTTTTTTAACTTCCTTGTTGAAGCGAAGGAATGACCAAGTGATTAAAGCAGGAAGCCTGGGAATCAGGAGTCCTGGGTTCCTCTGAGAGTGGGCTTTAGTGGCGTGAGCAGAGGAATGTGGGGGCATGGGAGTCAGGAGGACACCACGGTTCTGTCCGTGCCCTGGCTTTTTACGATGGATAAATTAATACTTAGATACAGTAACTCACAGGGGGACCTGTAAGACTTCACAGTTTGCAAAGCACTTTGAGAACCAGCAAAGGAAGAGTGCTATCGCAGACTCATGATTACTGCCCTGAGAAGCAGGTGACGATAAGTATTTCCTGCCACTGAACAATGATACAGTCCTTGTATCTGCAGGACAGCCAACAAGTTAAGCTCCTTTAGGCAGAGTAAAATGTACTTTCCCTTTGATAACAATCAAATAAACACAGGCAATTAACCTCACCTACCAAGTTTTGCACTGCCTTTCCATTTGACCATACACAGAATATTAAAATAAAAGATGAAAGCAGTTTTCCTGAGTGTTAATGTTCTTTACACAACATTATGCTTCAAAAGAAATACATGGTGAAGTGGTTCAAACTATTTAAAAGGACAGTACCCTATTCCTAGACACTAAAACTAAGTGCAAAGGAGTTAACTGAAACTTGGAAAGAAACTTGGCTCTTTCTACATTGACATTAGATAGACCGTGCACATAAGGTGCTGACTTAAGCTACAAAAAGTGCTGTCACTTGAAGAATGTGGCCCAGCCAAGACCCTGCCACTACATGGTATTACCCTTGCCTATGGCTTTGATGAAGAGTCTGGTTTTTTGTGTGTGTGTTTTTTTTACATGGTTTTCTCAGTTCCTTAGAAACCCTGATGTTCAATATTTGCCACTGGTGACTGAGGGGTTTTGTATGCGGTTAGCAACACCATAAAGATACAAAATAGAGATTGCTTCTTTCATTCAAACCTCAGGCAGCGGGAGCTATCAAGCCTGAAATTGTGTGACCATTACTTGCCAGACACCCACACTATAGAGCAGCATATGAAATTACAGCCTTGAAGTCGACTATACCCCTACAGAGAACATCAGCAGCAGGATGCATGTTGTATGTGTGCAGGAACATCAAGACACTTTTTCTGATATATTGGTGGGCCAAAGCCAAGTAGGGATGGGTGGTTATGGGGAAAAGAAGAGATTCTTGCTCCAAAGACATCTATAATCCTTTCATTTAATCACCTCTAACCTGTTCCTACTGACCACACTCTCCTCTGTGGCTTGAAAGCCCAAATCATTTAATAACTGAGAAAAAAAAAAGATTTTTGCCCCTTTGAGAATATTTGCCCATCCCCTAAGGAACTGTTGTGATCAGAAAAGTGACTATGCAGATACGGCACCTTCCTGTTCGTCACTTCTACTCCCTGGGTCCATATTGAGCCATATTTTCTGACTACAGTGTCTAAAAGAAAAGAGTTTACTGTGTTTTACTCCTGTTAATACTTCTAAAGCCAAAACAACTAAGGGAGCTGGAGTCTATTCCTGGCTCATGTATCATCAACAGGACTGTTAACAAAGGGCCTGACTGTGAGGGCTTGACTATACAGTGCGTTAGCACAAGGCAAGCTGGGGTGTAAATCTGCATTGCTGTATCCTGCCCTGCACACTAACTGCCCACGTAGAAGCTACTTCTGTGCTCCAACCTATTGTCGGTTGAAACAGCGGCACGCAAATCACACCACCGAACTTTTAGCATACAGCAGCACGGTCCACAAGGACAGTTAGTGCATCGCACACTACAGCAAGGTAGATTTACACCC